AAAAAAAAAAAAAAAAAAAAAAAATCGAGCAATCGGGGAGGCAGTTTGAGTGGTCCCATCCGAAAACGGCGATCGCCATCCGAGTCAAACCCCTGATATCCCACCCGAATGCGACTTCAATGTGAATTGGATGAAGCTCCAGAATGTGGACGTGTTTTAAGCAGAGATGCAGAAAAGCAGTTCAATCTCGATTTTCTGCACCTTTCCACGAACACGTCCAGATTCAGGCGTTCGATCCAATCGTCTTTGCGAGTGGGACCTGGGCCCTGATATCCCACCCGAATGTGACTTCAATGTGAATTGAAAAGCCAAAAAAAAAAAAAAAAAAAAAAAAAAGACCGTAAGCTACCAACTGGCCTACTGTACCTCAGAGCAGTTGGTACGCCCCTGAATTGTGGAAATAAGGGCCTCGCCACACAGGCTGTCGAAATGTGCAAAACGAGAATGAACTTCACGCTAGAACATGGCCAGATGCACCTGCCACATTTATGTCGTTTTGGCGTTTCGACAGGCTGTGTGGCGAGGCCCTAACTCCTGAATTATGGAAATACAGACCTGAGTTTTTCTAGACGAGTCTGAGTTGTTTGGGGCTGGTCGGTTCGATGGAGAAAATTATTAGGGCCTCGCCACACCAGTGTCGAAACGAAAAGAGAACAAATGCAGCTGCCTCAGAAAGTCGTAAGGTGCATCCATTGCTATTCATAGTAACAGATGCATCTGGCTCTTCTCCGTGGGAAGATGCATTAGTTCTTTTTTTTTTTTTTTTATCAGTAATCTATATTCTTCTCTCAATCTTCTTTTGTATATATTCTATCTCATCCTCTCGCTCCTCCATGTATAGTGCGTGGGGACCACCACACCAACCAAACCTGGGTGCGTGGGGACCACCACACCAACCAAGCCTGGGTGCGTGGGGACCACCACACCAACCAAACCGAGCTAAGCCCGCAGGCTTTAGTTCTTTTTTCATTTCGACATTCTTTTTTCATTTCCACACCGGTGTGGCGAGGCCCTTAGCCTGCACACTGGTGTTCGAGTGCTTACCCTATGATTTCCACTTACTCGTTATCTGGACCGGGGGCCAAGTCTCACTTACGCTGATTCTTCATTTTGGGCCGTTGATCTTCCGAATCTACGGTCAGAAGTTGAGATTTCGGGTAAGTGGGACTTGGCCCCGGGTGATGTGGAAGTCTACAAGCAGCCGGCCATAGCCCCCCCTACAACCCCCCCTCGCCCCTCCTTCCTCCCCAACGAAAAAGGGCTGCGAAGCGTTCCTGAGTTCCTGGTATGAAACCTTCTCCCTTTTTTTTTTTTTTTTTTTTTTTTTTTTTTTTTTTTTTTTTTTTTAATTTGTGGATGTGGTTGTGCAGAGCATTATGGAACGGACTGGTACGGGCGGGGCGAGGTCCCAACAGCAAACAGGGTTGGAGAGAAAGCCTGAATCTGGACGTGTTTGCGGAGAGGTGCAGAAAAACGGTGATTGATCTGCTTTTCGTTTACAGGTACGTTACCCGGCTAAAGAAAAAAATAAGATATGCTGCTTGCATGCAGCGGCAACTCTTTTTTTTTTTTTCTTAGGAAAACTTCGAGTGGTGGACACCACTTAGGGAGGTGATATGAGCAATCCTCCCGAAGTGGCTTGAGGCTCAGCCTCCGTAGGAAAATGCCTGGTAGTGCCAGCCAAAAGGAGGCCCCGCGGGGCATTTCCAGCCCCGGAGAAAAGTGCCTCGGGAGTACTGGTGGTCTAAACCGCCAGCCTTGTTGAAAATGTTTCGTCGCCTACTCCGAAAAAGTCGGCGCCGGCGCGCCAT